TTTCTTTATGTTGAATTCGCTGTTCTAAATATTATACTTTTTGATAGAATTTGATTTGTTTTATATCAGACATTCCATGGCATGACGGATAATAGCGTAGCTTTTGTATTATAAAATTCAATGGCATCACAGATTATGGAAGAAGATGGGGGTCTTATTTTTTCAATGTTCCGTCTTTATTATGAAAAACATTGAAAACTAATACGGTTGATTGACGTAAAAAATATTTTTCCACAAAAAAACTTAATAAATTTTTGCTCTAAAATAATTTGGGGAGCCAATAATCGCATGTTATAAATTTTACATTGAAATCCCTATGCTGCGTTACGCAAGTCACCACCCTGTATAGGTCTTATGGGCATGTAAGAACAGTACATTTTGGTTCGATGGCACCAGACGGCCATAACGATGAATTCTGTATCCTATTCAATGACTTTCAGAAATATACCTACCTCCTAAGAAATGCTTCCAACAAAAGTCCCTAAAAAAATTTTTAGATTCTCGAATTTTGCAGAAAGGTGGGTAGAAGAATCCCCAGGAAAACTTAACGTTTCTACTTCAACGTTTAAATTTATATTCCATTTATATAGTCACTTTATATAGTATAGATGTAGTGGTGACAATTGTTGATTGGTTGTTGAGGTCTGCGGCCATGATGCATCGAGTATATAACGGGCGGTCAAAAATGAGTTCCTGTCGAGTCGCCTTTGGAAGTTATGTACGCTTTCCAATGTAACCAATAATTCCAAAGATAGCATAGTATAATCAATGAGGGGTACTCCAAATCTGCTAAAATGTTCTTTTACCGGAAAAGGTCTGCCACACTTGTCGCTTCTTCATTTAACAGAGCATATGCTCCTCCCCAATTACTGAAATAGGCCATGGCCACCAAGGTGTATTTGTTTCTTTGAAGGGGCCTGCCTCATTGGTGCTTTCTTCTTTTCTACTTGTCCGTTGCTTGTGGCATACACTGCACATTTTCTGCACCATTCCTTCACATTTTGTTTGCAATTCACCCAGTAGAATCGTTCCCGCACCTTAGCCAGGGTTTTCGTCACTCCTAGATGTCCTCCCGATATACCATCGTGTATATGTCGTAGTACTTCACTTTTCGCCCTCCGGTATCACTAGCTATACATTTGTGGTCTTGCCATCATCATTATTTTCTCTCTTAAGAAGACCATCTTCTAGCTGCAACGAGTTCACTGAGCCCAATAAGTATTGAAACCTGGACTATATCGAGATCCCAGGTTGAGCTTTTCTCTTCCATTTTTAGTTTATCATTAGACGTAAATCACGCCCCTTTTCTTGAGCTATCCGGAGTTCTTGAGATGCCCAATTATCATCCGCAAGTGCAGTGCGTCTTGGATATTCATATTTCTGTTCTAGTTGTGAGCAGTGTCGACCATCCTCAGGGACATGGCCTTCTAGATCGTGCAATTGCACAATTGTACCTCAATAACCTATATAACGATTCGTGTAGATGATGCATCAGCATTATGATGGTTTCAATCCGGTTGGAGTTCTGTTACGAAATCATACTCTTGCAGTCTTTCCAACCACCTGGAAACGTGACCTTCTGGACTTTTCAATAGTAATATGATTGCTGACGGCTAGCAGTTATCTTCGGGTAACACAGTAATTACGTTCCGGTTTAGGGAAGACTTTACTGAAATATCGTATCGTACGTGGTTTTACTTATTTACAATTAACTAACAAGAAATTTATAACAGGTTTAAAATAGATTAATTTAACAGTAATTATTATTTATCACTTACAATTTATTACATAACATAAGCGCATCGAAATGGGCAACTCGAAACACAATTCGATTTGCTTATATGTATAGCCATGTATAGCAAACAATATTCTTTCTAGAATGTTCTCGAGCGTTCAAGGACGCTTCAAAACAAACACGTCATATTTCTCGGAAAGTTTACGTCACTTGCGACTTCGGTCTTTGTCGCCGATGAATAATCTTTTCATTGCGCCTCGATGCCTATCGGGAATTCTGGAATATTCGCTACAATATTTACAATATAATGGGAGGGATTTCGGGTCGGTATTATTCGTATATGA